GAGTCCAGCAGTATAATTGGAGACTGCCCCCAATAAACCTTGCCTTGGAACACCTCAGACTTGATTCTTGGCCAGCCGGTGCAGGGTCAGGTGAGGTCTGTCACCTGCACCAGTCAATGCACATATCAGTGGATACAGCTGTCTATTCAGATCCACCCGTCCCCAACTTTCAAAAAGCACCGATGGGTGCTGTGGCCTAGCCCAGCCTAGCCTACCAAAGACCTAGTCTTCATGCAAACCCATGGGCCTAGTCAGGGCAACCCCCAGTTGCCCCCAACAGGTCCAACCCCAGCCCTAGTTTTTACATGTGCTAGCATGTGCTGCAGCTCAGCTCAACCTGTCCTGGATCCTACCTGGCTAATATACACATCCAGCTCAGTCTACCCTACCACCAGACCTGACCCACAGTTACACCAATGGGTTCTGCTGTCTTGTTCAGCCTGTCTGCCCCCCAACCCTGGCTCTTATGATCATCAGTGGGAGTTGAGTTTAGCAGGGAGAGTGCACATGGTTCTTCTACCAGGACCACTTAGAGCCCTGGATCTTACATCTGCCAGGAGGTAATAAAGTCCAGCCCAACATAATTTGCACCCAGTTCTGGCTTGTGCCAGTGAATGCTGTGGTAAAGCCCAGCAGACACACACCTATTCTGGCTCTTCTGTATACCAGTTGTTGCAGTCCAAGCTCTCACACCCCCCAGTAGAAGCAGTGACCTATCAGGGGAGTCCCTGAATTTCCCATACCATACCTTCTCCCAGCCCCGGGTCTTGTAGATGCCAATGGGTGCTGTGGCCTAGTCTGTCTATCCCATCTTGGCATTTGCCGGTATGTGATGCGGCCTAGCTTTGCTTGACCTGCCCGTTGTCCCAGCTCACATTGGCAGGTGCTGCAGCCTAACCCAGCCTACCCAGCATCTAGCCTTGGCTCTTATGTAAACTGGAGGGTGTTGTGACCAAATCTGACCTGGCCAGGCCTGCACCCCATCCTGGTTCTCACACATGCCAGCAGGTTCTATAGTCTAGTTCAGCTCAATCTGCTCCCAGAACCAGCACACATATATGCTGATGGGTACTATAGACTGGACTGACCTGGGGTGCTCCTAATTGCAGCTCTTGTGTTCATCAATGGGAGAGCTGTGGCCTAACAGGGAGTTCCCCCAAGTTTTCCTACCTGGTTCACTCTGTGCCAAGGATCTACCTACACTGATACTGGTGGATACTCTCCCCACCCTGACACTGTCTGTCCTGGTCTTGTCACTCACTGCAGCCCAGCCTAGCCCAGCCTGCCCCCACCTTGGCTCTCATGTGAACTGGCATGTGTGGGCCTACTCCGGCATGGCCCACATCATATCCTGTTATCCTGCCTCCTGGGTGAACCAGAAGGTTAGGTAAAGCCTAGCCCAGCTCAGCCTACCTTCACACTCAGCCCACTCAGCCTTGTTGGCCTGGCCCATCACCAGCTACTGCTCATGTGCTCACAAGCGGGAACTGTGGCCTAGTAGGAGAGTTCCCTGAGTTCCGCTACCAGGCCTGCATCATGGATCATATGTGTATCAGCGGATGCTAAGCCCATGCTCAGCATAGTCTGCCCCCAGTCCCAGCCTCTGTGTGGCGTTTGTTGTGCCCTGGCCCAACCCATGCCCAGACCTGGTCCTGCTCCGATTCCCAGCTCATATGAATATTGGTTAATTCTGTGATAGTGCCTGACTTGCCTGTCACCACCCCAGCTCTCCTGCAAACTAACAGGTCTGCAGTCATACAGGGGTGAGCCTACAAATCCCTTCTGTTTTGGTACGCATAAGAAAATGGTTGGTAGACTCGAGCAAATTAAGCAATTTAATCTATCTATCATCTTAGAATTACCCTCCCCATTCCCATTCCATGATAGAAAGAATACCCAATATTTACTTCTGAGTGATTGTCCTGAGGATTATATGTTAGTATGAGGTATATGCATTAAACTTCATGCTGTCCGTTAGATCTCTTGTCCACTCTACGTCTCTGCAACCAGCATCCTTTAATGACAGTACTGACATCTCTCCATTACCTTCTCCCTCCTAGCAGTGCTTTTTTTTGAAGAAGCTTGGCCATGCAATTCTTTTGCCTAACCCTTTAGTGGCTCATTCCCTATAGAATGAATTACAGTTTGTAAACAATCATAGAGCCCCATCACACCTGCAGCCTCATCTCCCATTCCTCCTTACTGGTCACCTTGGACATTGGTCAGATACTCCAGACATTGCAGTCCTGCCATCTCCTGGTAATTCTTATCTAGTTATCCCCTGCTCACAGCTACAGGAATCTCGTTCAACACTGTTTTTTCTGTTTCAGTTAAATCTGTTGTTATATATTCCTGTATTCCTCAGTGATTGAACTTTTAATTAAAACTGCAGTGTATTAAAACTGGTTTCCTTGGTGCCTGAATGGAAAGTGAGGCACTGATAATTTCCCCGGGAAGGGTAAGAAGCCTTGTAAATTCCACTTGTTTGAATGTGGGCCAGGTGCTCTCAGTTAGCAAAGCATAGCTGTGCATCCTACAGTTGGTGGTAGGTGAACAAGACAACAGCCCTTTCTTCAAGAAGCCCAAAATACTGTAGAGCAGACAGGCACATGCAAAACATTCTCTCAGCCTAATCAAGAGGTGGCAACTTCTTTGATAGAGGTCGTACATATGTGATAAGGGTGAAGAGGGATCATTTATTTAAAATGTGTAACTCTTTACAACCTTGACTGTCATCATCTTTGCATGATCTGTAGCTCTAGGGCCTGGTGTGATGGCTCAGTGGCTAAATCCTCACCTTGCATGTGCCAGGAACCCACATGGGAGTAGGTTAGTATCCTGGCTGCTCTATTTCCCATCCAGCTCCATGCTTGTGGCTTGGGAAAGCAGTGGAGGATGTCCCAAAGCCTTGGAACCCAGCACCTGTTTGGGAGACCTGGAAGAAGCTCCTGGCTCCTGGTTTCAGATCAGCTCAGCTCTGGCCACTGTGGCTTCTCGAAATGAAGTGCCAGATGGAAGATTTTTGGTTTCTTCTTCTCTGTGTAAAGCTGCCTTTTGATAAAAAAAAAATATTTTTTTTTAAAAAAATATAGTCTAAAGTGCTTTTGGAAATAGGATAATTTGTTATTTGAAAGGTAGAGTTGCAGCTTGCTAGTTCATTCTCCAAATAGCCACAAAACCCGAACTGGCACCTATATAGGATGCTGTTGGTGCAGACAGAAGCTTGACTTGCTACATCACAAGGTTGGCCCTGGAAACCAAATGCTTTGTAAAGTCTTTGAGCATACTTTTAGCCAAAGTGCTTCTATTACACTCACCTGGCACATCCTAGGTAGCTGTGACACAGCTGCCTGGCAGAGTGCCCCATTTTGTACTGATGTCACAGGGGTCAACTTGTTGTGTTTTTGTTTCTAGGAATGGGGCTGGAAAATTGTTGGGAACACCCCACAGATTCATGTGGAGCAATGCTTTCCTTTTCCTGCTATTGCTCTTCTTTTGGGATCAGTTTCAGCTGTTTAGGGAATGTGGGTGTTTGTGTTCAAGTGGGAGGAGAGTGCTGATCACTGCACTCCTGCTGCCTCCTTCCCATCAGGCCCTGAGCCCTTGCAGGGCTGCCAGGAACGGGGAACTGTCTGTGCAGGGAAAGGCTCTCACAGCCCTTATTAGGTTCCAGGATGTCGAGAGCTGTTAGGATTCCTGTGTCTTCATTTTCCAAGGCTCAGTCACCGCTGCTTTGTCTCAATGAAGTTGTCCTCATCAGTGCAGTGGGGAGGTAAGAAATGTTTCTTCCTCATATTCGTGTTGTGTTTGACACACAGGAGGCAGTCTGAGAAGGGTTTTCAAGAAGTTCACGAAAGTGCATGTTAAAACTGCATTGCTTATCGTTTTTGTTTTTTGCACCAAAATCAGCTGTTAGTTCTAGTTTTCCATAGGCTTTTGGAAGTGCGCCATAAAATAAAAATTTATATTTAAATGTGTAGTAAGGCTCAAGAATTTTGTTAAAGTGCAAATTTTCCTGTTCCCCAATTTCATATGCATTTCCTTTTTTTCTTTTGTTTTTTTCTAGTGAGTATAGGGTGAAGCCTGAGATGTAGTTGGATTTCTAAAGTTTATTCTATTTTAAGGGCAAAGCCTTTCCAGGGGCAGAGTCTCATGATCTGCAGTGCGATTCCATTCATTTCCTCTGGCGGCATCAGGGAGAAGAATTACAGGGAGGAGACTGCTTGGGGGCCGTTGCCAAAGTACAGTCACAGAAGTATGAGAACTTGGATCAGCCTTGTGTTAACGGAAGGAGTCAAAGGACGCAGGCCTGGGATAAGATGTTGGAGGTGGAAAATACAAAACTAACAAGCGGCCGGATGTCATAGTGAAGGAATGAGGAAGTCAGGGTAACTTCTTTGTTATGGGCCCAAGTGAGAGGCGAAGAGTGATGTCATTTACTGAAGCTGGGGAACACGGGAAGGCACAGGGAAGAGATCTTGGTCCAAGGGAAAAATCAAGCATTCAATTTCAGCTGTGCCCTTCTGAGAAGCTGTTGAGGAGCCCTGGTGCAGTGCAGGGAGAGTGACTGTAGTCTAAAGCACCTGGGAATGGTCAGGGCTGAAGTACACCTGGGAGATCAATGACATAAACTGCCACGAATATTCGGGTTTAATGCTTGGAACTGTAGCATGTTATTATGTTATTTGAAAGCTAGAGACAGATAGAGATTCTTCCATCCATTGATTCACTCCTCAAAGGCCCCAACAGATGGAGACAGGCAAGGTCAAAACCAGGAACCATGGGTGGCAGGAGTATCAAGGCTTTGAGCCATAACTTGCTGCCTTCCTGGGTATGTGTCAACAGGGAGCTGAGATTCAAGCCTCACATGGACTCCAGCATAGAGTGTCAACATCCCACGTCACGTGTTAACAAGCCCTCCTGTCAAATGCCTGTCCCCAGCATGTTATCTCTTAATGGTAGAAATGCAGTCAGAAATTTGAATTTGTTTCTCTTTTCAGAAATATTCCCAAGAGATTTGAACTTGAAGGACAAATTCATCAAACATTTCACAGGTAAGCATATTATTGGTGATTTCTATTAAATAAAAAAAGATTGCATATAGAAGACTGTTAGCACTGAGGATATGACGATAAACATGTAAGATTCCAGTGCGACATTCTTTGGCTGTTTCTCCAGCACAGCTCGCATTCTCTTGCATGACACTGCTGTTCTTTCAATAAACTGTGTATCATTTGCTAATTCTGTGTTCTACCAAATCATTTTGAACAGTACAACTTCCATATTTTCTCTTTCTTCCAATATTGTTCTTCCATTTTGTAATCCTCCCATTTTTGTAATGTGGGACAGACTTAGTTGTTTAGTTATCTTGAAGGGCCATATTTGTTTTATAACTTCAAAAGCAATGGACATGAGGGGCAAGGGTCATGGGCAATCCCCCTGAGGCACGTGATATTCTGTGTTTTCAGGTGTACTGCTAAGGGGCCTTTCTGTAGATATTGCTTAGTTTTCCTACTTCCACGAGGAGGGGAGAAAGAATCAGCTGGATCTACCTTCATTTTATAGAGTAATAAGGGCATGGAAAGCTTTCCTCACCTTACTATAGTTTGTGACATAAATAAGATACAAATGAGTTGGATGAGAAAATGGAACCAGAATCTATGCATGTAAATACTCACTCTTCTTAAGTAAATAAAACTGGGGAGAAAAAATGTAGAAATCAAAGTTTTTTTTAAAATTATTATTATTCGTATACACTTGGTTGGGTTTTTCTGTTGAGAGTATTTCCCTCTTAACTGTTCTAAAGAGCTCTACTGGAAGCGAAGGTTCCATTATGTGAGATGTTGAGAATGTGGAATGAATTTGGATTATTTTTCACAGGCCACAGTACCTCCCACAGCGTGTGGGTGAGGGGAAGAACTCCTGGGTAAGTTCTTTTAAGGGCATGGTAGGATGTAAACTACTGTTATATTATATCTCCATCCATAAAGTGCTAGCAAATTTGTTTGGGAAACACGCCTATGTTTAGCATTCACATTCTTTTCCTGTCTTCCAGGGCCAGTCACATTTTCAGCTGAATGTAGCAAACATTTCCATCGACTATATCACAATACTAGAGATTGCTCAACACCAGCTTGTAAGTAGCTTGGGCATTATTATGATTTTAAAATTTCTAATCTAACAATAAATGTGTGTGATTTTAATCTTAGGCTCTCTGTGGGTGGGAAGTGATAGACTAAACACTGCATGAGATGCTATTTATAACCTTGACAGTGCTCAAGGTTTGTATGTGCTTTTGAAGTGATAAGGGGGTGAAATTACATTCTTTTCAGAAATATTTCCACATCTGAAAATAGCCAGATTTCCTCAAAGATCAAAATGTTTGTCAGGTTGTAATCTTATTGTCATTATTCAAATTCCTTGGCATGAAAAACATAAGATGGCTATAAAGTGAAAGTCAAAATTTCCTCCTCATTTAAAGCAAATGTTTTTTGTCACATCATTTATACAGTGGGTGTTGGATTTTTCTGAGTAATGATGGAATGTGTTTGAAAAGTTGCCCTAATGAATTCTTTTGCATAGTTAAGTTATTGAAGTTAATAATATTTCTAAACATAATATTTAAGGAATATCATTTACAGTGACCAAATTATGATTATGTATAATAACTCAGTTGACTGTTTTAAAATTCCTTTCTAAGCCTAAACTTTCCTTTTAAAGAAAGTGAATTTGAAGCATTTTGTTTCTTTCTAACTGTGCTGCTCAGCTTGAGTTATATTTAATTCCGGATGTTGAGTCATATACATTGTAGCTTTGTTTTGTTCAAAAACAACTTGTATTTAATGATGAGGGAAAATGAATCACATTGGATTCAGGACAGAATGACCAAGCATTCACACAGGATGGTGGATGGCATGCAGGCTTTGGGATCACACTGCTTATTCACTCTGAGATAATTAACACCTTGGGGCTCTTTCCTTATCTCTAAAATGAATGTAACAATAAAATCGTGTTCTTAGGAGAATAAATAAGAAAATCTGTTAAGCACTTGATATGTTAAATTATTGGTATTGTTGTACGAATTAGTGACAAATGGTTAACATGATCACCCCCATATTTGTATTAAATGCCTGTATGACTAGCCTTTAATGGTTTTTCCTAGATTATAAACGATGTGCTCGTTTATTAACAAGACTGGCGGTGAGCCCACTGTGTTCACAGACCTAGTAAACCCCTCTGTGAGTATACTTTTTTTAATTTCTCTTATCATATTCAGATGTTTAATTTTCTTGAGACTATTTTGAACCAATTAAAAAGCCACAAAGTTGATCTTACTAGATCCAAAGAACTTAATCTGTGGACGTTGAACTTAATGTTAAAATTTGATCTGGATCCTTTATTGAGTTAATTTAAATATTCTCAAGAATTAGTTATATAAGTGACTTTTTGGCAGCCTTTTCAATCCTGAGTAATTGAATATTTGCTGTTATTTTAGTCAACACATTTTGGTCAGCATTTCAGTACCACGGACAATTCCCTTCAAGGACACTGATTCCTCCAGTTGTCCAAGTCATGGATGAAATACTTGTCAAGAAGTATCTGTGACTATCTTGAACCCACTGGCTTAGCCGAATGTATTTCAACTAATGGCATGGTTATTTAGCCCACCTCAAAGATTTGTTGTGACAATTGCTCAGACAATTTTAGCCTATTGTTTTCTTGCCATTCTTATTTTTTATTTCAAAAGCTATTATTGCATGTATGTACATATATTTATCTAGAGGATCTGTATAATGGAGGCAAGTATACCATGAAGTGAAGATACATTGCAGTATACATGTCTAATTCTGAATAGAAGGATGACTCTTAATGAAACTGATAAATATGTATTGACACTAGAATGCTGACTTTATTCTCAATACCTACAGTGTCAGGATATACTTAAATAGCAGAATGATGGACTTGTGTCTGTTGTTGAGGGACTAAACTATTGTAATATAGGAGAAAACACTGGGGAGGGATGGGATAGGAGAAGGTGGAGAGGGAAATCCCTGAGATAAGGAAATGTGTCATGAAATTTAAAGAAAGAAAGAAAGAAGGAAAGAAGAAAAGATAGAAAATGATTAAAATAAAAAACTTTTATTGCAAATTAGCAATAATAATAATTAGCTTTGTTAATTTTTCATACCTAAAGTTGCTGCATTTAAACTTCCCCTTTATTTTAGATTAAGATATTGAGTTTGGAGTAAATATTGTGGATTAATGAGTTAAGTTGTTATTTTGTGATACCAGCATTCATATTGAAAAGCCATTTTTAATCCTGGCCACTTGGTTTCCAATCTAGTTTCCTGCTAAGGCCTCCAGGAGGCAGGTGGCTCAAGTGCTTGGTCCCCCGCTACACATATGGAAGACCCAAATGGAATTCCTGGCCTTGTATAACAGTATCTAGAAAATATTACAGGATTTGGAGAATGAACCAGTGACTGGAAGATCTTTCAGTCACTCTGCCTTTCAAGTAGAAGAAACTAAATTGAAAAACTAAAAAGATAATATGTGAGATTATTTCAGGAATCAATTATTCCTAACCTGTCTCAAAAATGTTTAATACAAACATGAATAAATCATGAGCATTAATTTGACTATTGAAATGACTTAAGTCAAGTTTTAGCTGTCCTTTTCTTTGTTCTTGATGTATTTTTTATAAGTGAAAAAAACAGCACAATAATTGGAAAGTTCATACCCTAAGAAAAAACTATATTATAATGTAGAATACTGCACACAAATTAAGATTCTCTTGGCACTGGATCCATAGAAGACAGAGCTGACAAATATGGCTTTTTTTAAAACTGTAAGTTTAGATTTTTAGTGATTTGTCTCTGTGTTTGTTTTTTTTTTTTTGCTATTGCCTTATTTTAACAAGATATTGCAAACAACATTATAAATTAGTAAAACTGGGATTATATTATCTGTTATTTGCGTGACTATAATTCTAGTTACTTAATTGTTAAACTTATTTGCTAAAAAACTCATTTCCTATTTCTGTAATTTTTTAAGAGATTTATTTTTATTGGAAAGATAGGTCAGATTTATGGGGAGAAGAGACAGAGTGAAAGATCTTCCATGTGCAGGTTTACTCCCCAGGTGGCTACAGTGGCCAGAGCTGAGCTAATCCAAAGGCAGGAGTCACGAGCCTTTTCTAGGTTTTCCAAGTGACTGCAGGGGTGCAAGACTTTGAGTCATCCTCTATTTTGGGTCATCCTCTACCCAGGCCATAAGCAGAGAGCTGGATGGGAAGTGGAGCAGCTGAGACATGAACCAGCACCCATGTGGGATTCCTGCGTTTGCACGATTTAATTATTCAGCCATTGCTTTCTATTAGGCTTGCCCTCTATGAAATTTTTGAATACAGGACTTATTTCTTTAAAAGATTAAGAAACCAACAAAGGAGAGACAGAAATAGACCTTCTATTTCTTGGTTCACCTCCCCGCCTCAAGTGGCTGCAATAGTCAGGTCTGGGCCAGGATAAAGGCAAGAGCCTCAAACTTCATCTGGGTCTTGGCTGGCAGTGGCCTAGACACTAGGCAATGTCTTTCTAAGCCTTTTGGCAGGGAACTGGTGCAAAAGCAGTGTAGCTGGATTAGAGTTACTCTGAGATGGGATACTGCTATCCCAAAAAGTGATGGTTTTACCCATTGCACAATAGTGCTGGTCCCACAGGTCCGTTCTTTTGGTATGTCTGGATACCATAAAACTTTTATAGGCAGATTATAATTTTACATCTCTGAAAGTACTGATTCTTCACCTCTTTCCACAAGTGCACTAATTTGCATTATGGTTAGACTGTAAATTAGGGGTCCACAGATTATTTTTATTCTTTAAGATTTGTTTACTTATTTGGAAGGCAGAGTTATAGAGATGGAGAGACAGAGAGGTCGTCAGTTTCCTGAATCCCTCTCCAGATGGCCACAACAAAACCAGAGGAGCCAGAAATGCCATGTGTTTGGCAGGAGTGCTTGGGCTGTCTTTTGCTGCTTTTCCAAGCGTAATAGCTGGGAGCTGGTTCAGAAATGGAGCAGCCTTCATTCCAATGGACACCCAAATGGGGTACTGGTGTGGCAAATGGATTAACCAGATATGCCAAAGTGATGACTCTACCTACAGATTATTTAAGCAAAACCAAATAAATGTAACTATTAAATCTCTGTTTTAAGGGCTGGCATTGTGGCACAAAGGGTTAAGCCACCTCCTATGATGGTCTGGCAGTGCCAGTACGGAGTGAAACAGCAGATGGAAGAGCTCTGTTTTTGTTTTATTCTCACTGTTGTTCTACATCTCTTCCTTTCTCTAACTGTGCCTTTCAAATAAATGAATAAATCCTAAAAGCAATATATAATATATATTATATGTTAAAAGTCAAATTGTAAATATTTTCCTTCTCTTTTCTCCCTTAGGCATTTGATAAAAATGTAATTCAAATATGAAGAGAAAAGTGCCTGGAATCCTATTAAATGTAAAATCAGATGAGATTTCTAGTTTTACGGTATTAGTCTGATGAAGAGACTTTCAGAGTAACAGATTAACTTTGCCCTTCTTCTGTATGCCATAATTTATAATTTTTAAAAAGCGTCTAACTCACATATTGCAAATGGAATATTTTAAATTATGCTATTCTTTATTTTTGCTAGATAAACTATTTTCTTAAATGGCTAACATTCCATATTAAACATGCATAATTAACATAATGTAAATTATGTCTGAGTGCTAGTGAAAAATGTTGTGTGTTCTGTTTGTTTTTGGTAATGTTCGTCAAAGAGTTATATATGAAATCCACTTTTATAATTCCTATTTAATGATATTTAAATATTTTTCAGAATTTGTTATCTTTATTTACATTAATTTGAATGTGAATTTTATTAGAGCAAAAAATATGAAACAACTTTTTTTTTAAATGAAAGCTACTGTGGCAGGTGTTATACTACTAAAACATCACTATATGTAAATATAGACATATTTATATATATGAAAGATCTTTACAAACTTCATGGAAAATAGATATCATGACAGACTGCATGGATTTTAAAGCTTTTTGCATTAAAAGTTTTTTAAATTCCATTTTCTCCGTGAACTCTTTGATGTGTTTCCCATTTTCTGAATGGATACCTAGAATCCCGAGGCATTTTTGTCATTTGATGTTATGGTATGTGTTGCTGTCTAGAGTAAAGGGAAGTCTGGTTGTTCTTGGGCAGAGGTGTATGTGAGAGAGTGAGAAGAACAGATGGATTACCTTCATTTTTTGATTAAAATGTAACAAAATATCTTGCAGTTAGTTTCTTGTTGAAAAACATTGGGAAAAGTCAGACATCCTGACTTTTGGACGCCTGCCCTCCATCGTTTTGAAGGCTAGACAAGCCGGAGTTACTGAGGGATATATATAAGCAGCGCTGTTCTCAAGTTTTTAACACTTTCCTTCCCCATTTGTGTTGGTGTTATGAAGACATCTGCATCCTACCGTGCTGTATGAAAGCCATCAACCCCCATTTTAACATCTTCGATCTCTTCTTCAACTGAGTCCAATGCAGTTATTGGTCTGTGTAAACACACACTCCTTAGTCCATCAGAAAGGCAAGCAGAAAGAGGCCACTTGGCTACAGGAATTTTATGAAACTACCTTCTTTTTTTTTTTTTTTTAAAGATTTATTTATTTTATTGGAAAGGCAGATGTACGGAGAGGAGGAGAGACAGGACGATCTTCCGTCTGATGATGCACTCCCCAAGTGGCTGCAACGGCCAGAGCTATGCCAATCTGAAGCCAGGAGCCAGGAACTTCTTTCCAGGTGTCCCACACGGGTGCAGGGTCCCAAAGCTTTGGGCTGTCCTCGACTGCTTTCCCAGGCCACAAGCAGGGAGCTGGATGGGAAGTGGAGCTGCCAGGATTAGAACCGGCATCCATATGGGATCCTGGTGCCTTCAAGGCGAGGACCTTAATCATTACACTATCACACCGGGCCCAAAACTACGTTCTAAATTATCCTTTTATTTGTTGTGCCTGATGGGCTAAGGCCTACAAATAATTATTTTTCGAGAACTTGAAAGGGGAGAGGGTGTTGAAAACTGGCAGTGATTCTGTGTACTAAGGAATTGGGGTTGGCTGCAGGCTAGGCCTCTGCCTGTGGCACCAGCATCCCATATGGGTACTGGTTTAAGTACTGGCTGCTCCACTTCCAAG